CGGACACCCTAGTAGGCTGCCCTACCCCCTCATCTCCTCTGCTCCCCAGGGGCTTGGCAAGGGCCCAAGTCTGCCCAAGCAGGAGCCCTGCCAGCTCCATCCTGTGGATTAAGTGCTCAGCTGATAGGAGGAAGGCAGCTGGGCCTGCAGGTGGTCCTGAGAGAACCCCTCCACTGGCCTCTGTCAGTCATGTCCCTGGCCTGTTAGAACATCCTTTGCTAAAGCACCCACTGTGCCCTCCCAGACCGGTGTTCCCAGTCAGGCCTGTGCCCGGGGAGAGGACAGGGTAAGGCCGGCAGACCCAGGGGTCTTAGCTTTGGCTTTTGCCAACTCCATGTGGCAAGGCTCTTTCTGGGTGCACTCAGCACTCCCCAGAGGCAGGCTTCCCTGGGCCCGAGGGCTGCACTGCCAGTGCGGGGTCTGCCTCCCCTCCAGGTCCCGGCTCTGAGCCCTGCGGGGCGGCTGCCGAGCCTGCCTGCTCAGAGCTGGGAGGTGTGGAGAGACAAGCAGCTGTCCACCGCGAGCAGCTCAAGCAGCTCTGGGTGACTACGTCCAGGTCCTTGCACGGGGGTGGGAGCAGAGCATCCTATGGGCCAGAGCCTGGAGGGGCAGGCAGGCAGCAGAAGGCCAAGCTGGCCCCTCCTGTTGCTATGGAAGGTGGGGGTAGGTGAACGGACCTTCACTCGCTCGCTCATTCATCTGGAAAGTTGTGAGCATCTGCCAGGAGGGCTGCAGCTCTGTCCCTTTGTCCCTCCGGACTCGGCTTTCCTTCCACGGCCGTCCAGGTCACAGCCTGCAAGGCAGCTCTATGGACATGGCCTTTGCTCGCTCAGCCTTTGCTCCAGGGAGCCAGGTCGTCGGGCGAGCCCAGCTGGCATGCTGCTGCAGCAACACTTACCCAGGGCCTTGGCTGGTGGTCCTGCCCGGGGCAGCTGGCCTCAGGGGATCGGCAGGGCAGCGGGGAGCGCGTCCTGCGTCATTAATAATGAATCGCCAGCCGCTGGCACCTCACCGCCTGTGTCTCTCACCAGCCACCTCCCTGAATGTGGGTGTAAGTAGGGGGTGGTGGGCGGGAGTCTGGCTTTTCAGGAGACTGGTGGGGGTGGTGGGCAGCCAGCAGCAGGCGCTGGAGGCAGCCCCCTCCTCCTGCCCACCCAGGCAGGCACGCCTTGCTCGTTGCTGGAACAGCGCAGCCCCGCAAGCTCTGGGCCAGACTCGAGTGGAGAGATGGCCCCTCCCTCCCCTCTGCCAAGGTCTCCTCCAGCCCCACTCTGGAAATCCGATGCCCTTCGCTCCATCACTCGCTTGCTGGCTCGCTCGCTGGCTCGGCAGCGGCAGTGCCAGCTTCCTCTTCCTGGCCATTGCCCTCGAGAGCCTCAGGCCTGCAGGAACTCCTCGCATTCTGGGGACAGTCCTGTCCCAGGCACAGAGGGACCTCCAAGGGGGTGGCTGGCTCCTGAGTCCCAGCGGAGCTGACACTCCGACATGCAGGTGTCCTTCGTGTGCTCCGAGCATAGCCTCAAGGGCCGGAACCCCGAGGAACGGCTGGGCCGGCCGGCAGCCAGCAGCCCCAGCCTGGGCACCCGCAGCCGCTTCCGCGCTGTGGCCATGGTGGCCCGGAGCCTGGGACAGCTGTCGGTGCAGAGCATCCCGAGTGCGGGCGAGCCCGGTGCAAAGCAGCCCGGGATGAAGCATAGGTAGGAGGGGCAGCAGGCTTGGGTGGGGGCGGCCAGGAGGGGCTGCGGTCTGCGCGTGGTGGTGTGTGAAGAAAGTGGAGGCTGGGTCGGCCCCATCCCTGCGTGCTATGGGGGGCGGGGGGGACGGCACGCCGCGGCCCCTCGGCCTCCTGCTGCTGCCTTCCAGCGGTTGCAGACCGTCCTTCCTGGCATCGGCAGTATCTCTGTCCCTGGGGATCACCAAGCACACAGGCCACAGCAGCTGCCCCTGTTGGCCTCCTGCACTAGTGGCCAGGTCGCCCCAACAGTGTCTTACATTCGCAGGTGACCGGGTGAATCAGGAGTTAGACCGTGTCCCCCTTCCTGCCCGTCCACACTCTGACAGCCAGGCCACCCCAAGGCTCCCCTGCCTCTCGGCACCGGTGGTCTTGCCTCTGTCAAGGGGTGCCTGCCCCAGGCCCAGGCAGAAGAGGGAGGGTCCCAGCTGCGCACAGAGGCCCCTCCCTCAGGGCAGGGTGGTGGGGCAGGAGCTGAGGCCTGCCTGCTGTTCCTATCACCCGGGTTGTGTGGGGACAGAACCCTGGCTCCAAGACAGGGGGAGGGACAGTTTTGCTTTCCAGGGCTCCGAGAGTGGCGGCATTGTGGGTGTTCAGGGTGTAGCCCTCCGCAGGGCCCGTGTCAGGCAGACCCACGTGACCAAGCCTGGGAGCCCCTCAGGACAAGTTCCCAGAGCCAGCACCTGCGTCCACACGCTCCTGGCCAGTCTGTGTCATCAGCGACCCCGCAGGGTACACTGCTCGTGTCCCCGTCCTGAGTGCAGTGAGGGCCGTCCAGCAGGGAGGTCCCTCTCCAGGCTCCGAGGGGTCCGTGGGAGCAGCAGAGCGAGTGTCCATTTTCTGTTGGCCTCTTACCTGCGGCCACACCTCCTCGGGTCCCAGGGTCATCAAAGGCATGAATGCAAGGGACAGCATGGAGAGACAGCGGCGCTCCCGGGCTGTGCATATCCACAGCTGTGTGTGTGCTCACACGGACACACATGTGCACGGGGGCAAAGGGGAGGGTCAAGGCAGAGAGGGGCAGCGGGCCTGCAGTGCGGGGACCTGGGTGTGAAGCCCCACCAGGGAACTCCCTGCGGCCAAGACTCTGCTGCAGAGGGAAGTTTACACCCCTCTAAGATGGCAGAGCAGCTGAAGGCAGAACTGGGAGCCAAGCTGGGGCCCACCAGCCACCCTCACCAACCCCCTCCCCAAGCAGCAGGGGGCAGCAGGACCACACTGGCCCTTGCCCCACCAGCTGCGTGTGCTCCCGGCACTACTGGCTGGTGAAGCCACACATGCTGGAGGGGGTCCTAACGGCCCGGGACTGTCACGATGGTGAGCCTGTTAGGCAGGAGGCTGCTGGGAAAGTGTCCCCAGTTCTGGACATTTCTCTTACAGATGTGTTTATTCATTGAAAAAGCAGAGTGACACAGAGAGAGCGAGGGATCTTTGATTTCACTGTTTTGCTACTTAAATGGCCACAACGGGTCTAGGCCAAAGCAGGTCCTGGAGCTGTACCTGGGTGTCCCACAGGAGGGGCAGGGCCCCAGCGCCCAGGCCATCTTAGGCTGCCTTCCCAGGCATAGTAGCAGCAGATTGGATCAGAAGTGGAGCGGCCAGGACTTGAACCAACACTCATGGGATGCCAGCGACAGGCGGTGGCCTGCGCGCCACGACGCCAGCCCTCACAGGTCAAACGTTAGTCCTCATTCCAGACAGCTGGGAGAGAAAAGGCCGCTGAATGTGATGTGTGCATCGAGGGCCTTCCCGGGCCAAGGTTAGGTCTGTGGGTGTCCCTCAGCCAGCTGTGCAGAGCGCAGGGAGACACGAGGGGGGGACACGAGGCTGGATCATGTGGACTGACCGTGTGCAGGCTGACGCTTCGGCCAGCTGCCTCGTCTGCACAGGGTTTAATGAGGAAAGGGGGCCGTGCGGGAAGCGGTTTTCCTGCCGGCGGCCCCCGTCCAGACCAGGCTGTGCTGTCGACCGTGCTTGGCTAGCTGCAGCCTGGAGGCACCCTGTCCCTTCTCATTGCTTCTGCCGAGGCCTGGAAGCACAGAGCCAATACCATTACTTGCACAGGGAACTGAGCCGAGTGGGGTAGTTGTGGCGTCACACAGCGCCCTAGATCTGTGGTCGCTGGCAGAGGCCCCTGTGGTGACCGGGAGCCTGCATCCCTGCCACACCCTAGAGGAAGATAGAGCCCACCCAAGGGAGCTAGACCCCACCCAAGGGAGACGTCCCTGTCCCTCCGGGCACTTGGACCTGGATCAGATAGCAGTCAGAGTGGCCTCACCAGCTCTCCCCAGGCTGGCTGCCAAGGATCGTCCCTGCTCCCCAGTCACAGCCACACCCCACACCTGCCTGGCCTCACCTTTCTGCCGTGGGCACTGACCACGCAGTGTACCCTAGCGTTAAGGCATACCTTCAGGAGGGGGTGCCCACAGCTGAGCTTTGCCCTACTCGGTCACGTCACTGGAGCATTCTGCAGGAGGGCAGTGCTGGCCTCCCTTTGAAGCACCTAAGCCAGGTGCCCGAGGCAGGGAGTGGGGCATCCCTCCAGCGAAGCCGTGCGTTTGTCAGCGTGTCACCGGGGCCCTTGCGCCCGAGGTGGTCAGAGTTGGCCTCCCACCCCATCATGGCCATGGTACCATTTCTCCCCAGTTCCTGCACAGCTGTCAGACCTGGTGCCACTGGCCACTGTTGCTGCAACAACAGACAGCCTGGTGCCGTCCTCCATAAACACAGGCTTCTGTGGGCCGGAGGGCACAGCTCAGCAAGTTCACTGCCTTACCTGCGAGAGCAAGGGGCTGTCAGCCTCTGCATGCCACGGCAAGTTGAAGCCACAGTCTTGTGAGGGTAGCCAGACTCGAGATGGGGCTCAAGCTTCCATTCAACCCGCTCTGGTCCTAGGCAAGACCCCTCCCTCCGCCTCGGTTAAAGAAAATCCCAGCATGGGCCAGGGCAGGGCTAGGGCAGCATGCCAGGTCAGGAGCTTCCTCCAGGCCGCGACCTCAGGGAAGTGGGGGCCTCCAGGAGGGGCAGCAGACCCCAAAGGGGAGCAAGAATGCAGCAGGGGACAAGCCCACTGCTTTTCAGATGGCCATGTGCAGGACTGCAAGCCCCTACAGGGGGACGTCTGTCACTCCCCTCTGGGGCCGACAAGCAGAGGCCGCTCTCCAAAGGTCCCTGTGCCTGTTAGAGCCCCAAGATGCCTGGATGGGGAGGGGGGAGGGGGGCCTGGCATTGGAAACTCACACGAGCCTGGGTCTATTTGTTTTTTCAGAAATCTGGGCAAGTCCGGCCTGCGAGTGTCCTGCCTGGGGCTTGGTGAGTGGGGAGTCCCCTGGGTCAGCTGCAGAAGCAGGAGCTGTCCTCCTCAAGAGCCCAGAGTTCAGGGGCCAGGCTGCATGAGTGGGGCCGAGCGAAGTGCCAGGCCTGTTGCACACACAGCCTCCCTGACTGCACACCCCGCAAAACCATGGGGCTGCTGGCCCCAGGGTGTGGGGAAGATGGCGGCCATGGCTGGGCTCAGCCCCTCAGAGCCATCACCAAAGACCACAGGACTCCGAGCAGGTGCAGGCTGTGGTCAGACGTGGTGCTCTGCACCCCCATGGATGCACAATCCTGCCACCCCAGCAGCGCCCCCTCCTAACCCTCCCTGCAAGACCATGCAGCCGGTCTCCGGCCAGGGTCCTCTTTTCCACTGCCAGGGGCAGCAGCAGCCTCAGCTCCAGAGGGCCTGCCAGGGAGACAAGTCCGCAGATGTCCGCTCCCCCACCTCTGGGAGGTCTCCCACGGTGGGACAAGGGGAGGAATCCAGCAGGTTCTCTAACTTATCTGGGCCCCTGTGTCTCCTTCCAGGGACATGGGTGACGTTTGGCGGCCAGGTCACTGATGAGGTAAGACAGTCCCCCAGCACGTGGCCCCTGGCCAGCGCATGCGGTGAGGTCCCCTGTGTGAACCATGCTCCAGGGACCTCACCATTCACCAGGAGAATTCAGGGAGCGCAGAGTTGCCGAGGGTAAAGCCCCAGAGTGCAGACCCAGTCTGCCCTTGGGCGAGGGTCCGCCACGGTCAGTTAGAGCTGGCAGGCCAAGCAGGTTGATGTTCCTGCCAAGCTGTGTGCCGCTCACCTTCGGACACTGTGTGAGTTCTGAACGTCAGTAACGTGTGTCCCCTGGGGCTTCTGCCGCTGCCGTCGGGGAGCAGAGGCGAACTCTGAGAAGTACCATCCACATGCTGGAGGCCCCGGGTCTCTGGGAAGTCGAGGGGCAGCACGGCCAGGTGGGTGCCCAGTGCTGGAGGAGGGGCAGCACGGTCAGGTGGGTACCCAGTGCTGGAGGAGGGGCAGCACGGCCAGGTGGGTGCCCAGTCCTGGACAAGGGGCAGCACAGCCAGATGGGTGCCCAGTCCTGGACGAGGGCAGCACCGGCCAGGTGGGTGCCCAGTGCTGGAGGAGGGGCAGCATGGCCAGGTGGGTGTCCAGTGCTGGAGAAGGGGCAGCACAGCCAGGTGGGTGCCCAGTCCTGGACGAGGGCAGCACTGGCCAGGTGGGTACCCAGTGCTGGACGAGGGGCAGCATGGCCAGATGGGTGCCCAGTGCTGGAGGAGGGGCAGCACGGGCCAGGTGGGTGCCCAGTACTGGACGAGGGTGACCAGGGAAGGACAGCAGCCATCACTGGGGGAGCCCGGGCACCTGCCTGGGAAGGGGGTTCCCCCTGCTGGGAGGGCCACACGTGCACACAAGCGTGCCTTGTCAGCCGTGGCTGCTCACCACACTGCCACCAGAATCTAGACACGAGGTTGTGCTGTAGGGTTCTGCTCCGATGACGGTAACACTTAGAGAGCCGGAAAAGCACCTCAGGAAGTTCAGGGAAATGCACAAAAAAGCTCATTTTCTCTTGAAATCTGTGCAGAACTTTTCTGTGCTCTCCGGGTGAAGAAGTTTCTAAGGGGAAGGCACTGCCTTCCATTGGCCACGCCAGTTTGATCAGAACTTGGGGTCCCACGGGCCTGACTCAGTCTCACTCTCCCTTGGTGTGTGGTTGCTCCAGCAGCAGGTGGGAGGGCTCTGTGGAGGCTGTGACCTCGCACTCGCGGCAGCAGCCACACAGCCAGGGGCGTCCCCAGGGAAGGCAGAGGAACTGGGCGATTCGGCCACCAGCAGCCCCAGCTGGCCGCAAACTCACGAGCCATCAGGGACGCTGTGACACGAGGAGGACACGGGCGGTCACGTGCAGAGGACAAGCCAGCAGGACACAGGCAGTGACAGTGAAAGTCGGAGCTCTGAAGGCTTGGGGCGGGTCACAGTGACCCAGGAAGGAGCAAGGCGAGGTTTTGTATCAAATCCTACAGTTGGTGTTGAAATGCAGTCCCCTACAGCCAGGCCGAAGGGCACACCCACCGCAGGTCGGGTAAAGAGTGCACGGGGCTCCCTGCCATGGTCAGCCTCCTGGTCACATGGCATCAGCAAGCAAGCAGGCAGAGCCCTCCCTGGGCTGCTGCCTTCCCAGGCCTGATAGCAGGGAGCTGGCTAGCAAGTGCAGTAGCCGGGACTTTGGCCAGGCCTGGGTGGGGGCCTCGGCTGGGAGCCCCTCCCTGAGCTCCCCCACTGCCCCCAGGGTCGGTCAGCATCCGCTGGAGACAGCAAGGGATGCTGGGACAGGCACACAGTTACCTGCCATCTTAACCACCGGGCAGACACCTGCTCCCTGCCTTTGCAGCCATCAGGAGGTGTGCACTGCTGAAGCCCCTGCACACCCCCAGGGGTTCCAAAGCGGGACTGCAGGGGCCTGATGCAACAGCCGCCCAGCCAGAGGTAGCCTTGGCTCCTCTTCCTGTCTGTGACTTTGGCAGCCTGTTTGTAAATAAAGTTTTACTGACCATAGCCACACCTGCAAAGTATATGTCATTCACCGACAGACTCCTTCAGCGGAGTCCCAGGGGTGCTGGCCCATGTCCTCACTGTGTGCTATGCCAGGGCACAAGTGCACCCCGCCCAGGAGTGGAGCACCCTACCACCCAGGAGGCCAGAATGGCCCCACCCTCCCACAGTACAGAGGCCCCTGGGGGTAGGACCCCGCCTGGTCCTCAGCCATTCTCACGAGGCACCACAAGAGAGCAGACAGCGTTAGCCCACCCGAGACCCCAGGGCCACCAGACGGAGCTGCCCTGGTCAGCGCCAGGTCCCCACCCCTGCTGCTCGCCGGCCTTCCTGCCACTCCCCACTGCTCATCTGTAGCGCCCCCTGCCACGAAAGGCCCCGGGCAGCACTCCTCCTGCTGGCCGCCCTCCAGGTGTGGTCCCAGGTGTAACAAAGAGCAGCTTAAGGCTCCCTTGGGACTGAGGGACAGCTGGCGTCAGGATCAGTACGCTGAGTCAGACGGAGTCCGCAGGTCTACTCTGGCTGCAGCTATTGGTGGACGCCACGTGGGCAAGGACGCCAAGCACAGAGAACCAGGCACGCTGCAGGCTGACCTGCCCTGGGTGGGGGTGCTGGGAGGGCCTGGTCTGAAGGTCACCAGTGCCAGCTGGAGGGCTGTCCCTCCTGCTGGGTCACCTTCCTCCCTGATGGGCACAGCTTCCAGCGACTCCGTACCTGTCAGTCAAGGAGAGAACCAGGATGAGGGCTGGGGCGGGCCCGTGTTGCTCACAGCACGGGCCACGGGGAGGCTGGAGCTGAGAGCTCCTGCCACGTACGCACCATGTGGGCCCAAGAAAGCATATCACAGGGGCCAAGGGGACAGCGAAGCTGAATTCCAAGCCAAGAGCCAGGGCAGGCTTAGCGGAGGAGTCGGGCAGACCTGGTGGGGCCTTGTCCCTGTGTGGGCGAGGAGCCCCGGAGGGGAAGCTGACCTGACAGGCCTCGGACCTTCCCAAGGTGCGTGTGCGCTGTCCCTGTGGGGAGCAGGCGGAGGCTAAGGCAAGAACTGAGCCGAGGGATGGGCCAGGGCAGCTGCAGTGGGGGAGACCCAGGAGCTGCAGCCAGGGCAGGAATCCAGAGAGGCTCCGGGCTGAGCCCCAGGTACGGGACGGGCAACATGCCAGCTGGAGCAGGCCCTGCAGGCTGCCCTCCTCCAGCACACAGGCCCCTCGGCTGCACTTCCCACTGTCCTCCTGCTGCCTCCCAGACTCCTCCCCCACCCCGTCAGAACCCAGCCCCGGGGGTCTGGGCAGATACTCCAGCGTGGCAGGCCTTGAGAGCAGGGTGCCGTGTGGGTGAGCCAGCCACCAGAGTCCTGGAGGGCGTCCAGGGGCTGGAGGGTCAGCTTTGTTTGGGTTGATGCGGAAGCCGTGCAGACGGTGGGTGTGGCTGCCCAGCAGGTCAGTACACACACTAGGGGTGGTCGCGATGGTGAGTCATGCATTGCATATTTGATAGCAGCTGAGACATCTTAAGAAAAAAACACGCGGGCCTGGCGCGGTAGCCTAGTGGCTAAAGTCCTCGCCTTGCACGTGCTGGGATCCCATATGGGCGCCAGTTCTAATCCTGGAGGCCCTGGAAGATCCTCTCTGTACGTGACTTCCCAATAAAAATAAATTTAAAAATCAGCCTTTAAAAAAGCATGCACACACAAGGGAGGGAGGGGCCAGTGGGCGGTGGGGGCTGCCAGGACCTGGTCGCCTGGGCACACTGAGTGCTGGCAGCGGAGACAGCCAAGCATGCTTACCCTCCTGGCGAGAAGCATGGGGCCGAGGTGCAGAGAGCTGCAGGGCCTGTCTGGACGTGGCCCCTGCCAGGGCATGGCACACGCTGCCCTCCTGGGCTCACTCGGGCCTGGCTGGTGGGACGCCCCCAGGATAGCTCAGGGTGCAGGTGAGGCTGAGCTCTGGCGTGAGGAGGGGAGAGGGTCCGGAGCAGCCCAATAGGCCCCAGGCTGCACCCACTGCCACCAGCACTGCGGTAGGCAGACAGCCAATCAGCTGTCAGGGTGGGTCCTGAGAGCTGCGCCTTCACCCCTGCCCACCGTCTCTGCCCAGGCCTCCCAGCTTGAGCCTGAGCAGCCGCTGCTAATCCGGCTTAGCCTGGGTGCCAGAGCAGCTCGGGAAGGCTCCGTGCCAAGGCTTGGGGAGCGGGGTGGCTTCGCTCGTCCCTCCGGCTCGATCCTAACTTCTGTGAACAAGCAGAGGCCCTGTTATCTTGGGGCCTGCCCTCCCCCAGGGTGCGAGTAGGCGTGGACCGTCCCTCCCAGAGGCCCGCTAAGGCCGTTCTCCCGCCCCACACCTGCCCGTCCCTGTGAAGCCCCAGCTGGCCAGCGTTGTGTCCTGCGGGTTGGAATCAGAATTACCCAGCACACACTGGGCCAGCAGGGGAGGGGGCTGGTGCCCCAAGCGGGCGTGGGTGAGGACTGCCCAGAGGGACAGCAGCACTGGGGGTGCCTTCTACTGCCCTTGGAAGGGGTGCTCATGTCAGGGTCACTTCCAGCACGCCGTGCCATGAGGCAAGAACTGCTGGGGGGCTGTTCCCCCATGCTGCCTCCTTGAGGGCCTCAACCTGCCTAAGAATTCTCAAGAGCTCCAGGGATCCCACGAGACCCGGCGGGGGCCGCAGCCCAGCCCAGCACTGTCTGCTGGGCTCCGGGCACAGACTCCCACGGCCGTGCCATACCTCAGGGGGCACCAAACAACACATTTGTCCTCAGGCAGTGCCTGGGAGCCACCGTCTGCACTGAGCCCCTCAAAGGCTCAGACACGGAGCTGGACCCTTGCCGCTCCTGCAGCGCTGGCCCACCCAGGCCTGCACGCACACCCCACGCCCCACCTCTCTCGGCACGTGGCTCTTCATGCACCTTGCCCCAACCACATCCACAAGGATGTTATTTCCAAATGGGGTCACATTGTGAAGTTCTGAGTGGGTGTGAATTTGGGGTCGGCGGAGACCCTGTTGAACTCAACGCCAGCTGCTTGACCCAGCTGTAAGTCATGGTCATGGTGATGACCCAGAGTCCCCGGCACTGGCGGGGCCGTGCTGCCACTGCAGCCGCGTCCTCTCGTTGCAGATGGCAGAGCAGCTCATGACCTTGGCATACGACAACGGCATTAACCTCTTCGATACTGCGGAAGTCTACGCAGCTGGCAAGTAGGTGCCCTTCCCTGCCCCGTGGGTTGCCCCACAGCTCTTGCAGCTGGCAGTAGGTGCCCTGCCCTGTGGGTCACCCTGCAGCTCTTGCAGCTGGCAGTAGGTGCCCTGCCCTGTGGGTCGCCCCACAGCTCTTGCAGCTGGCAATAGGTGCCCTGCCCTGCCCCATGGGTCGCCCCACAGCTCTTGCAGCTGGCAATAGATGCCCTGCCCTGTGGGTCACCCTGCAGCTCTTGCAGCTGGCAATAGGTGCCCTGCCCTGCCCCATGGGTCGCCCCGCAGCTCTTGCAGCTGGCAGTAGGTGTCATGCCCTGCCCCACAGCCCTGTGGGTCGCCCCGCAGCTCTTGCAGCTGGCAATAGGTGCCCTGCCCTGCCCTGTGGGTCGCCCCACAGCTCTTGCAGCTGGCAGTAGGTGTCATGCCCTGTGGGTCGCCCCACAGCTCTTGCAGCTGGCAGTAGGTGCCTTGCCCTGCCCTGTGGGTCGCCCCACAGCTCTTGCAGCTGGCAGTTGGTGCCCTGCCCCACAGCTCTTGCTCCCTACCATGCCTGCCATGCTGGCTGTTCTCAGTGGTGCTGTGAGGTGATATTTCCAGAGGGCTGGGCAGCCTGGCTAAACTCCCTGCAATGTGCCCAAGAGGTGGGCTGACCACAAAGACACTGCACCAGGCTCAGGGCTGCAGGCAGAGCAAGGGCCCCTCAGAGCCCTGGGGTGCAGGCTCTGGCCCCAGCACCGTTGGAGGCAGCTCACGTCTTGCGAGTGAACCTTCTACTCAATTATGTAAAAGCTCAGCCTTCGTCTGGCAGGGCTGCTGGCTTCAGTTTTAAAGACTGCTGTAATCAAATCATCCACTCGCCTGCATTAGCTCTCCAAAAGTCAGCTTCTGTTTGCATGATCATTAACTGGCTCTGTCTGCATCCGCCCTCTGGCCCCTCCGTCAGCCAGGCTGGCTGCAGCGTCCACCTGCTATGAATGGGGTGCAGGGCTGCACCTGCCTTTTGCCGCTCCCCGGGTGCTTGCCTGCCTACTGGATCAGGAAGCCCTGAGGGACCTTGGTCCAAATCCCAATCCAAGGCCCAGGGTCGGGAGGGGGTGCATGCCTTGGTGGGGGGCCTCCTGCAACCCTCCCCTCCCCTCCAAGGTGCAGCAGCTTCCCATCAGGAGGCAATGCTTTCTCCACTCAGTTGTGCTAAGCTGGAGGCTGGGAGGGTTCAAGCTGTAGGCTGATGCCACACCTCAGCCTCTCTCCTGGCCCTGCCACTGCCATTGCTGCCCACAAGAGTGTGGGGGTGGCCACCTCCAGCTCCAGATGGCCAGCCCAGTGCACAGGGCCCTGGCAGGCTCCCCATCATGGGAGACTCTCCCTGCTTCCTGCCATTGCTCTGCGTGACCTGAACACCCTCGAGCAGCGAGCAGCAGGCAGGGGCAAGGCCTCCAGGGAGCCACCTGCTGAAGAGCCCAGGACTGAGGGAACAGCTTTCCCAGGGGCTGTCCTTGCTCCTTCACCGGTCAGCCAGCCCCGAGCAGACCCTGCCTGCTTGCTCCCATGGGTGCCTCTGCGGCAGGCCTAGGCCTCAGCCAGCCCCGAGCGGACCCTGCCTGCTTGCTCCCATGGGTGCCTCTGCGGCAGGCCTAGGCCTCAGCCAGCCCCGAGCGGACCCTGCCTGCTTGCCCCCGTGGGTGCCTCTGTGGCAGTGGCCACTCACTCTGGGAAGCTAGGCACTGTCACCATATAAACAGGGAGAAGGCACTTTGCATGAGATAGATCCAGCAGGCAGTGGGCCAGGGCTGCCCCTTCCCTGCCAAATGTGTGGCCCACTTCAGCTGCCGTGGACTGGGAGGACAGCCCCTCACGGTGGCAGCCAGGCCCTTAGCACGCACTCCGTGGGCTCAGGAGCGCCCCTCATCTCCTCCCTCCCGCCTCTCCTGCTCCTTTGTCCTATGAATCAGGAAGCAAGAGGCAAAGGGAGAGACCCAGGGCTGGGTGAGCTCTCTGTGCCTGCTGACCATGGACAAGGAGCGTTCAGGATGTGTGCTAAACAGCTTGCAAATTAGAGTCCGTTGTTTGTGTGTGGCCGACTCCGGGGCTGTCCTAACACCGGGAGCTGGGCACGGATCACTGGGTCATTCTCCATGTCTTGTTTTTGCTCAGAAACATTTTGCTGCAAGCAGAGAAGGTTCTTAAAACTGCCGCCCTCCCATGACACACCCCCAGTTGACCTGAACTCGGTGCAGAGCCCACAGTGAGGACAAGGCAGAGAGGGCTCAGCGTGGCCCTTGACTCTGATACATCACTGACCCTTTAGAAAATCTACTGGCCTGGGCATTCGACCCACGTGGCATTGCTAGGCCTGTCCCTCGTGACTTTCCAGCCAGCCGGGTAGATAGGACGCTGGTCCTACTGATCAATTCAGGGACCCTTCCCTCTGCCAGCTCAGGCAGGCACCTGCAGGACACACATCTGTGGCCACTTGGCAGGACAAGCAAGATCCCTGCCCTGACAGGCTGCTCTGGCCAGCCCCAGGCCTCACCTCCCTGTCGTGAGCTGCCCGAGCCAAGCTGGGCATGGGCAGGTGGCCTTTCCACAGAGGAGCCGAGGGCCAGCAGTGAGCTTGGGGCTGGCTCCCATCTTCTGTAACCCCCTCTCGCTCTGCAGGGCTGAGGTCGTGCTGGGGAACATCATCAAGAAGAAGGGGTGGAGGTAAGGAACGGTGCCGTACCACCTACCTGGGCACATGCAGGGGAGGCTGAGGGCGAGTGGGCACTCGGGGGCTCTGCCAGTCCTTGGAAGTGGTACAGCAGGAAGATTGAGATTTGCAAGTTGTGGTCTCTTAGCCAGTGGAATGCCTGGCAGTGACTCACCAGCCCTTGCTGCTGTGTTGCCGACTCTTAGAAGTCCAGAAAATGTTCTCACTGGGTGGGGGTGGGGGCGGGCAGCCCAGGCATTGCCCATGGAGGCACAGGAGGGTTATGGGCAGTTGAGGACTCTCCACCTCCCCTGCCCGAGACCCCAGAAGAGCCTATGGTTCCGGTAAAGCAGGGCAGTGAGGGCAGCCTGGTGTCCAGCCTGGCCCAGCTGCCCCCACCCCAGTCCGTCCCAGCTCACCCCTGGAGAGGCCAAGGGCCAGGGTCACTGGTGGCAAAGCCCCCAGCCCTACTGAGAGCTCCCTGCAGGTCTGGGGACAATGGGGTCAGAAGAGCTTGGAGAGGAGTGGCTGAAAGAGCCAGGGGCCAGGTCAGCCTCTCTGGGGTCACTGCCCTGTCTGGAAGGGGATGAGTGTTGGGGCCCTCTGGGATTCCTGTGCTTGGCCCCCAGGGGTATCTGTCCCAACCCCAGGACACACTGGGCCTCCCGAGCCCCAGGGCCACCACAGCCTCACCTGAAGTGGCTTGCAAGACCCCACGAGCTCCTCATCCCCGCCCACCATGGCCACCACTCAGAATTTCAGCGCACATGGGTGGGGTAGCGCCTAATCTCTACCACACGCCCGTTGGGGTGTCACCCCGAAGCCCCAGTCCCAGGCTCACCCCGAAGCCCCCGAAGCCCCAATCCCAGGCTCACCCCGAAGCCCCCGAAGCCCCAATCCCAGGCTCACCCCGAAGCCCCCGAAGCCCCAGTCCAAGGCCACTTGCTCCATAACTCAAGGAGAACATGACATCCGTCACCAGTGAAGACCCACGGAGCTTCCCCGGCCTGGAGGTGATGCTGTCCCCGCACAGCGTGGTGGCTGGCTGCCAAGGCTGCTAATGCTTGCCTCATCCCGAGGGACCGCCGGGCCGCTGTCCCCTCTCCTTGGGCAGTAGCTCCTGCTACTGACCAGTCTAGGCCGTGGTAAGCAGGTTCCCTGAGTGCGAGGAAGCCCTCAGACCTGTCTCTGCCCCATCCAGCTCTCTGACACCTAGTGGTTGTTGAGCTGTGGGGGAGCAGTGCGATTGGGAGGTTGCCTGTGGGGTTCCATGCGGAGCCCCTGGTTGCACACAGGGTACACATCTCATGTAATGATGGTGACGGCTTGGCTCACACCTTGGGGTGCCTTGTGTGAGCACTGGGGGCTCTAGGGGAGGGGAGGACCCCCAGGCAACCAGGCCCCTAACCCCAACCCTTTTCTTCTGCCTCACAGGCGGTCCAGCCTCGTCATCACCACCAAGATCTTCTGGGGCGGAAAGTAAGTGTGGGAGCAGGGAGGGGTCCGGGGCACCTCAGGCCCCAGGGAGCAGCTTTACCCAAAGTTACCCCTGCTCAAGCCCCACTGGTTTTGAATGACACAAGCCACAAATGGAACATCACAGATTCCATAACAATTCTGCAAGAACTCCAGAGCAGTCCGAACACCCGGGTGCCGTCCCAGCCCTGCAGGGCCCGCTGCCCCTCCCCGATCTCCCGGACCACACTCAGACTCGGGCACTTCTATAGGAGTCACTCCCTGGCTTGGTTTTATTTCTTAATTTAGCTTCTTTGCAACACAGACAGGCAGGTAGAGAAGGAGAGCTCCCACACCCCCTAGTTCATGCCCCAAACGCCCACCACAGCTGCAGCTGGGCCACATTGGAGCCAGAAGCCTGGAACTCCATGCTGGTCTCCCAGGGATCCACTTGCTTGAGCCATGGGCGGCTGCTTCCCGGGGACCCACCAACAGGAATCTGGAGTGAGGGGCCACGCGGCAGTGCCTCAGTGTGGGGTACAGGCATCTGAAGAAGTAGCCACCACAATGAACGTTCACCCCTACGATTTTACTTTTATTGGAAAGGCAGATTTACAGAGAGGAGACAGAAAGATCTTTCATCCACTAGTCCACTCCCCAAATGACCACAGTGGCTTGAGCGGAGCCAATCCAAAGCCAGGAGCTTCTTCCCATGCACATGCAGGGTCCCAAGGCTCTGGGCCATCCTCCGGGCCACAAGCAGGGAGCTGGATGGGAAGTGGAGCAGCCAGGATATGAACCAGTGCACATATGGGATCCTAGCACCTGCAAGGGAAGGATGCTTCTTCCTTTCTTCATGACATTGTCAACACTTCCCCCAAAACTTTGTGCCACGTCACCCACGCGCACACCACACCGTCCCCACATGCCACGTCACCCACGCGCACACCACACCGTCCCCGCATGCCACGTCACCCACGCGCACACCACACCGTCCCCACATGCCACGTCACCCACGTGCACACCACACCGTCCCCACATGCCACGTCACCCACGCGCACGCCACACCGTCCCACATACCCTGTGCACACACGTCATCCATGTGCTCTCTTGTTTTTCAGAGCAGAGACAGAGAGGGGCCTTTCCAGGAAGCACATCATAGAAGGTGAGGAGGCGCTCGGCACCTAGGGCGCTGGCACCCCGGGATCGTCCCCCAAGACATGGCCAACCCCCAGACACACAGCCGAGGGCCCTAGCCCCAGGCACCTGCTGTTCTGGCCAGCCTGCTCCTTCCCCCTGCACCTGCTGTGGAATCTGGCAGGACACCCACAGGCCTGCCTCAGTCTTGGCTCAGCCCAGCTGCCTGGTGGCCTGGAGCCAGGGATGCTCTCCCCACATCTCCGTTGCAGCTGGGTAAGGCAGAGATGGTAAGCACGGCCGTCTCGGGGTTGCTGGGAGTCAGGAAGCATCAGGTGCTGCAGGGCTCCTGCTGTGATCTCCGGTGATCTCCTGCCCTAACACGTCCCAGCCTCCCATGCTGGCCGTGTCAGCCGCATCTTCTGCTTGCCTGGAAGCAGTGCGGTAACTGCATTTGGTGCACTCTTGGCCTTGGTCTTTTTACGTATTTGAAAGTGACACAGAGAATGAAGGACAAAGAGCCATCTTTCACCCACTGGTTCATCCTTGAATGGTCACAACAGCCAGGGCTGGCCCAGGCAGAAGCCAGGAGCCTGGGTGTCCACTCAGGTCTGCCACACAGGTGGCAGGGAGCCAGGCATGTGGGCCACCTTGCCCTGCTTTCCCAGGTGCCTTAGCAGAGAGCTGGTGCAGAAGCGGAGCAGCCGGACTCAGGCTGGCCCCACAGGAGCCTTTTATGTAACAGATCTGGCTCAACCTGGAGTGGGGTCCTGGGACCTCCTTTGCTGACCAGGAGAAAGCCCAAGGGCAGCCTCAGAAGGGGGCTGTGTGGGCCTTCCCTCTCATTCTGCTACAGGACATCTGGCCTGTGGCCCCCCCGCCCTCCTCAAGGGCAGGACCCCCTTTGAAGTACCCCCACTTGTTTTCTGAAATCGCAAGTCCTCCCTCCCTGCCCCCCGGGCCCCCGAGCGGGCCCTGGCAGAGCCCCATGGTCTGTGTGGCTGTGCTCACTGCCGTGACAGTCCTGCTCCCACACCCTGGTCCCCAGGTCTGAAAGCATCACTGGAACGCCTGCAGCTGGAGTACGTGGACGTCGTGTTTGCCAACCGCCCAGACCCCAACACGCCCATGGAAGGTAGGGGCGCCCCCGGGCCGCCGCACCCCGGGTCATCCAGGGTGAGTCAAGGCTATTTGCCCTACCAGCAGGGCACACAGGAGCCCAGCCTTCGCGGGCTGGCGAGAGCCCCCAGGCTGCCACGCCCTGCACCTCCCTGCTCTGGGCCCGCCACTCCCTCTTGGGCAGTTGGTTATTTTGCAGCTAGATACAGCTGCAGGTTCCAGCTCTCGGAGGTTTGGGGGAGTCTGTTGCTCAGGGCCGAGCAGGGGTACCCCATCACCCAGAAGACGATTGGATGCACGGTGGAGGTGGTTTGCGTGGCGAGGCCCCCGCGTCCTTCTCCCAGCCCCGCCACCGCTCCCCTCACCAGCGTGTGCTCCGCAGCTCCAGGACTGGGACACGTGAGCAGTGTGCGAGACGCTCTGACAACACCCAGAGATGTGGCCCTTCCCCACACCCCATGCCAGGCCCCAGCTCTGTGTTCCCACCATCGCAAATTCCGGTCTCTTTAAATCTTTCTTTTATCACCAGGGGACCCATTTAGTTCCTCCAAGTCCAGGACATTCATCGTAGAAGGTACACAGCCCGCACGCTGCTGGCCTCTGGGTCCCCGCTGCATTTTATGAACCAGTCCTTGTGCACACGGTCCTGTCACCCAACGACAGACCTCCCCATAAAATGCACAGGGGGTCCTGAGGCCAAGGAGAGCACCTTGCGAGAGAGGGAGGAGCAGGGCCCCACCCATGCTGCCATTCCACACATACCCCTTTCTGTGCATGCCCTCAGCCCGCCCTGCCGCACCCCTGCTTGCCGCGCTATGACCTGCGCTGGCCTCCTCTCAGCCCAAGGCTGCTGCTGTCCAAGCCTGGAGCCTTGACCTTGCTGGTACGAGGAGCAAGCCCGTTAGGGACCCAGAACATGCCCCCTCACACACCTTTTGTCGGCCACTAGAAGCAGTGCCAGCCACTGAGCCACCCCTTCCAAACCTGCTAAGTCCTCAGGACCACGTCCTAACCACGTCCAGGCCTCGTCCTGGCCGGAGCTGGCAGACTCCGGGACCCAGACACAGCCTGCCGCCATGCTGGCGCTCTGCCTGCTCACAGCCCTGGGCCCAGGCCCTGCCCTGAGGCCTGGCCTTGGGCTCCTGCTCCGCCTGCCACCTGGTGCTGCCACCTGACCCCTCCCATGTGGCCCAGACTCCCTGGGTTGTGGCAGTGGCTGGGAGGACTGGGTCGCCTGCTCCGTCCCACGGCATTGGCTGATAGGATGAAGGACATGTGTCCCCAGCTGTCCGTGTTTCTGAGGCCACTGACGCCAGTAGAGCACCGTGCCCTCTGCATGGGCCCCACACCCTGCCTGCCTCTGCCCAGCTCCTCCAGGGACCCCCGCCACTGCTCAGGACAGCTGCGGCCCCGTGGGCTGTGGCTGTCAGCCAGGTGCCCCAGCACCATCCCCTTGTCACCACATGGGAAGTCTTGCTGGTCGGGATCTTTGTGATCAGGAAACACTGGGGCCGGGAGGGCACAGGCTGGCACTGGCGGTCCTCTGGGGCCGGGAGGGCACAGGCTGGCACTGGCGGTCCTCTGGGGCCGGGAGGGCACAGGCTGGCACTGGCGGTCCTCTGGGGCCGGGAGGGCACAGGCTGGCACTGGCGGTCCTCTGGGGCCGGGAGGGCACAGGCTGGCACTGGCGGTCCTCTGGGGCCGGGAGGGCACAGGCTGGCACTGGCGGTCCTCTGGGGCCGGGAGGGCACAGGCTGGCACTGGCGGTCCTCTGGGGCCGGGAGGGCACAGGCTGGCACTGGCGGTCCTCTGGGGCCGGGAGGGCACAGGCTGGCACTGGCGGTCCTCTGGGGTGGGAGGGCACAGGCTGGCACTGGCGGTCCTCTGGCCCCATCTCTGGCGCGTGGACCTGAAGCTTGGCTCAGAAGAACAAGGCCCTACCAGTCACAGGGCGCCCAAGGTTATTTTATAAAGCAAAGTTAGCCAAACAGGGCCTGGGCACAGTGGGAAGATGCGGCCAGTCCCCAGCACCCTCCCAGCATCCTCTGGGTGCCCTTTGGGCCTCCCCTCAGGCGATTCAGGCAGGCAGCACTGGAGAGGACCCTGGGAGGCCTGTGCTGCCTCTCCCAGTCCCGACACACACACACACACACACAGATGCCTGCACAGGGAAGAATTCCAGCAGCCACAGCGCCTGAACTGGAAGAAGGCAGAGCTGAGCCTGCAGGTGCAGGAGCCCAGGGTGACTCCCAGGGTCCAGAGGATCCCCCCAGGATCACCACCCCACTCCCCTAACTGCAACCAGACAGGGCTCAGGGACCCAGGAGCGGTGAGGCAGGGCATCCTGAACGGACTGGCCAGGAAACCACCAGTGCCTGTCTGTGCCAAGGAAGGCCCAAAGCCACTCTCAGGACAAAGCCAGCTGCCCCCCGCCCTGCATCTCTCCCACCCTGGCATTTTCTGGGACCTCAGCTGCCCCCCTGTCAGCCAAGAAGCAAGTCAGGGGTGGGCAGTGGGCTTTCCTGGGGCAAGGTTTCTCTTGGGATTCTAGAAGCACCTAGCCTCCTGCCGGCCCCCCACAAATCTCTATGGGGTCTGAGAAGCCAGGCCATTTGAGATGTGACAACTTAGAGCCTTGCTTGCAAAACCACAGCATCCCCCACAAGGCCAAAGCAGCTGGGGGTGGGGGGGTCCAGTGAGGGCTGAGGGCTGTGGCCTTTGTCTGTATTTTCCCATCTATTGGTTCACTGCCTTCATGTCTACAATCGAGCCAAGAGCGCAGAGCTCAATTCAAGCCTTCCATGGGTTGGAGGGCGGGGACTCCAGCACTCGGACGTCACCTGCTGGCTCCCAAGCAGGAAGTGTGAGGAGCGGAACAGCGGGGACTCCATGTGGAATGTGGACATCCCCACCAGGGCCCCGCCACTGCCCCGTGGCCCAGCCCTCACGATCCTCTCTCTTGGGAGAGTCCTTGGACAGGGGCCCCTCTCAGGCAGAGGCAGGTCTGGGGCGTCAGGGACTGGGGCCTTGGGCTTTGAGTCCCTGCTCTCAGGGCTTCTCAGGCCATTCCCAGTGGGGTCTCCTTGCTGTCTGGCTGCAGCCCCTGGCCACTCCCAGGAGGGTCGCCCATCTCCCCTTCCAGGCCCTGGGAACATGCAAGGGTGCTGGGCTGGCCTGAGAGCCTGGCACAGCCCCTGGGGAGTCTCCCTGTATGCTCCCCTTGGGGAGTCCAGCCCTATAGCCCTCCTTCCGGGAACCAGGCAGGGGCCCCAACTTGCCCTTGGTCCCCCCATGCATTCTCTGGATTCCTGGGAGAACTGGCATAGCTTCCTGAAGCTTCCTGTTTGAAACCTCAACCCATCCAGAAGCCCTTCCTCTGACCAGCCCCCCAGTCCCAGTCCTTCCCCAAACTAGAGCCCAGCTGCCCCCCATGTGGAGCGCAGGCCCACATCCTGGACCCCCCTTCCTGATGGGATCCCTGGACACCCAGTTTCCAAGGGTGCCTTGGAGTCTGTGACTGCGGGGACTGTCCCGGGAGCAGCTTCTGGGCCGTGGCCCCCCTTTGCTTGCCCGTGGCCTCAGGACCACTGAGCACTCTGCTTGCCCTGCCCGAGCGCCCTCCCGCCCCCCCACCATGTTTGCCAAATGTGCCCAGTTTGGGTCCCCCATGCTCTGGCCATCCCCCATCTGCGACCTCCCTTCTCTCACACCAGAGACCGTGCGCGCCATGACCCACGTCATCAACCAGGGGATGGCCATGTACTGGGGCACTTCTCGCTGGAGCTCCATGGAGATCATGGTAGGTGCAGGGCAGGGTGTGACCGGTGGCTCCTGTGCCTTCAAGCCCACTGACCAGGCACCAGGGAGCAGGTTGAGGGGGTGGCAGGGCCTTAGGATGTGGGAGCACCTGTGGACAGGTGGCTTAACTTCTCAGTGACCCTCCTGGGCCACATGGATGCCCAGAAAAGCTGACTGGCGAAAGGTGGCTGCCATGGGAGAGGGGCAGGCAGCCCCTGGGGGCGGCCCCCTCTCTGCCTGCTGACCAGCAGGGCCGCTGCCCCCTCTCTGCCTGCTGACCAGCAGGGCCGCTGCCCCCTCTCTGTCGCACAGGAGGCCTACTCGGTGGCCCGGCAGTTCAACCTGATCCCGCCCATCTGTGAGCAGGCAGAGTACCACATGTTTCAGCGAGAGAAGGTGGAGGTGCAGCTCCCGGAGCTGTTCCACAAGATAGGTGCGCCTGGCCCGGCCTGCCACTGCCACCCCTGCCCCGGCCCCACCCTGGCCTGCCCCAGCCTGGCCTGGCCCAGCCTGCCACTGCCACCCCTGCCCCGGCCCCACCCTGCCCCTGCCCCGGCCCCACCCTACCCCTGCCCAGCGAGTGGCCTGCTGCCAACTCGCCCACCCTCAGGGCCAGGGCTTCATGCTGCCTGCTTCCTCCTCGCAGGAGTGGGCGCCATGACCTGGTCGCCTCTGGCCTGCGGCATCGTGTCAGGGAAGTACGACAGTGGCATCCCACCCTACTCACGAGCCTCCTTGAAGGTAAAGGAGGGGCCGGGCGGGGGACAGGTGGCTTTGGTGCTGGGTGGACTCACGTGGGCCCCGGCTGCCCAGCTCTGTCTGCGGGGGCTAGTTGGGCAAGGTAGAGCAGGGACAGGGCCCCTTCCAGCCCAGCCTTGTGTCCACAGGGGCTGTCTGCCCCATGGGACAGCCTCCTGGCACCCCCAAGCCCTAGTGAGGCTCAGCCTCCCCTACCACCAGGCTCTGTGCCCCCTGAGACCTCAGACTGAGGTCAGGGCTAGGCACTGCAGAGACACCCAGAGGTGACCACAGGAATGCGCGCGCACACACACACACACACACACACACCAGGCACCCCCAGGCTGCCAGCACAGACCAAGCAGAGAAGGGTGCACCCAGCCCGGAGCCCTGGGCTTTGGGCCTTACTCCCAAGCCCACAGCTACGGCAGAAATCATGTGGCAGATGGGAGACACGGAGATGGAGGGTATGGTCGGGAGGAGGCAGGGGCAGGGGCGGCTCAGTCTACCCCCCAACCATGTCCTTCAGAGCGGGATCCCACAGGGGCCTGAGCCAGGGATGCTGCCATAAGAGAAGGCCCAGGCCTGTAACTGTGCCACACCCCCACCCCACCAGGGCTACCAGTGGCTGAAGGACAAGATCCTGAGCGAGGAGGGCCGGCGCCAGCAAGCCAAGCTGAAGGAGCTGCAGGCCATCGCCGAGCGCCTGGGCTGCACCCTGCCCCAGCTGGCCATCGGTAACGGCTCGGGGTCTGCGGTGGGCGTAGGGCCGTGTCCAGGGTAGGAACTGAGGGCGTAAGCTCTGGCTGACCTTAGGAGAAAGGCCAGGGACTCCAGGGAAAGTGGTGCGATCACTGCACAGCCACCCCAACACGGGCAGGGAGGGCTTAGCGCCCACCGCAACACGGGCAGGGAGGGCTTAGCGCCCACCCCAACACGGGCAGGGAGGGCTTAGCGCCTACCCCAACACGGGCAGGGAGGGCTTAGCGCCCACCCCAACACGGGCAGGGAGGGCTTAGCGCCCTTTGCCCAGAGTCATAGGTCCAGGACCAGAGAGGGTCCTAGAGCCCCTGGGCCTCCACTCCAGCAGGGACAGGCCACCATATTCCCCAATACCTCCCCACCAGACGCTCCTTAAGCAGAGCCTCCGTGCCCCGGCACTGGGGAGCCAGCTAGGAACCCTGGGAGCCCCCCACCACCACTGACCAAGTGTCTGGCTCCCTGTGGTCAGCCAGGGTGAAGGGGGGGCCAGAGCGCACTGTGCAGTAGGGGCCCCTGCCTCACCCCAGATCTCGCTGTCCTCAGCCTGGTGCCTAAGGAATGAAGGTGTCAGCTCCGTGCTCCTGGGTGCATCCAATGCTGAGCAGCTGCTAGAAAACATTGGGGCCATCCAGGTAAGCGAGGTGGGAGCCAGACAGGTGAGCGGGGTGGGTTGCAGGTCCCCAAGATCAGAGCCAGACAGGTGAGCTGAGCAGCCTGCTGGGCGGGGCTAGGACCCAGACAGCCCCTTGAGCTTGCTTGGGTACCCCCAAGTGCGCACCCCGCACGGTTCCAGGCACCTGTGGTGTGTTGGGGCCCACCGAGGAGCGAGGTGAAGAGTGCTCACAGGGGAAGGCTAGATGGGCTTGCTGAGGAAGTGGTGTTTGAATGAAGGCAGGGACAGGTGCAGAGTGTGCCCCCAGACGCTCAGGGCCAGTAGGTGCAGGAGCCCCGAAGGGCAGGGCAGGTCCTGTGCGGCCACACTGCAGGCCCTGGGGTCTGGCTTCCAGGCGAGACAGGCAGCAGTCTCCGACAAGCTTCTGAAGGGTTCTTCTCTCTAGCTGCCAGGGAGAAGGGGGCTTGGGGGAAAGAGGCCTGGTGACCTGTGCAGGGGCTCCTGGGTGGGGTGGCATGGTGACGGGTCGGAGCGGTGGGTGGACCCAGGTGCTGGGAGGCAGGGCCTGTGGGAGCATCCAGGGCCGGGGCAGGAAGTGTCGCCTCCTTGAGACAGGGACAGCTGGGAGGAGCAGTGAGGCCCTGGAATCTGTCACCTTCTGGAAGGTTCTCCAGCTTCCTGGAGTTTGAATGGGGAGAACACAGCCCCACCACATGCTTCCTCTGTGTCTCAAACCTTTGAAACAGACCACGCAGCCTCCAGCTGTTCCAGTGAGGCGAGGGTGTGGAGGTGGGAGGCCCGTCCAGGCAACTCCCATGACCTTCTGTGTCTGCATGCAGGTCCTTCCAAAACTGTCCTCCTCTGTCATCCACGAGATCGATAGTATCCTGGGGAATAAACCCTACAGCAAGAAGGACTACAGGTCCTAAGCGGCGCCCGCCCGCCGGACAGTCTCCGTGCCCCTCCTAGTCCTGTCCACTCGCTTACGCCATCCCGAAGCCAAGTGCAGAGTGTGGTTTGCATCCAAAGAAAACAGCACGCCAAGACGTCCTCGGGAGCCGAAGTCGCTGCAGACACCACCCACCGCTTCCCCGGCCGCGCACGGGGATGGTGCCCGGCCAGGCCCACTGTCGGGGTCAGGGTGCCCGGCCACCCCTGGCACCTCTGCCCATCCTCTGAGAAGGGACCCACCCACTTCCTCCCAGCTACAGCCCTTCACAGGGGCTCTCCAAGCTGAGGCCAGGCCAAGCCTGGGAAGGGCAGGGGTGGCATTTCCTGGGGCCGCGCTGGTATTGCTGGGACAGGGCAAGGCCACCCCGTCACTCCCTTTCCAGGGGCCTCTGGTGCTTTCTGCTGGGCCTGGCCTCAGCTTGCCCTCCCATCCTTCACCAAGGGGAGCTGGCCCTTGACCTCCACCTCAACCCACCCCCACCCTCGCTGACGGGCAGGGGACCCCAGGTTGTCTGGCTCTACGGCACAGGAACTTCAAGATGTTTGGAGATCTGATCCCTGTCACCTGGGTGGAAAGGCCCAGGGTGCTAGAGACGGGTCCCCACAGCGCTTCGGAGGGCCCAGGGCAGGGGTCCCTCTGTGCCAGGCACTCTTCGCTGGCATGAGAATGCTGACTGCATGGTGGGCAGGCAGCAGCGAGCAGATGGCAGCGGGCAGAGTCTGTGGCCATCAGGCCAAGTTCCCCGCAGTTGGTGGAGCCTGTCCTCTGCCCAGTCACTGCCGTGGGCCTCACTGCATGCCAGGCTGAGCCTGGGGATGGAGGGTGCCTGTGTGTCTTCCACCACTGTGCCCCCCAACATAGGAAAAGCCCTGGGAATGTCTCCCTGGAGATACAGCCGCTGGGCTTCCCACACACCCCTGTACCCTAGCCTGCAAGTGCAGGCACGGAGGGCGGGCAGCACAGGCAGGGGTCCACCAGAGCTGGGCGATGGTGATGGCAGGAAGCCAGACCCCACAGAACCTGCCACAACCCACCCTAAGCCAGTGGTGCCTGCAGCCTGCACAGCGGACCCCCAGGGCCTGCACCCCTGCTCCTGGGTTGTCCTTGGGAGAAGCTGCTGTTCCAAGGTCCGCCCTGCCCTTCGCCCAGGGCTTGCTGCCTAGTCCAGGCCCGAGTATGGTCCCCAAAAGCCTCAAAAGTCAGGGGAGACGGGAAGAGAGGCGGTGAGGGACATGACTTCCCAGCCCACCCCAGGCCAGGCCTGGGCGTCTCCACCGAGACCTGCAACAGGCATCTGCAGATGCCGCCTGACAGTGTGGGCACAGGGCGGCATCCCTCCAAGCGGCGGCCAGGCTTGTGGCTACTCCCCGCCTGGCACCTGCTGCCAAGTCCCCAGGACAGGGCTGCCGCTGAACAGGGACTGAAGAGTCAGTTGGCCCACCTGCCACTGGCACAGATGGGGCTGGGCCCCTTGTCCACACTGCCAGCCCCTGCCCTGCTCACTGGAAGATGGATCAGGGCAGGCAATGGGTCAGGGAGGTTGGTGCTTCCCCGGGCCATGCTCGGCACAGCAGCGTTCCTGGTGGCTCCCCGGGGTGGGGGTGGGCTCAGCCAAAGCCCAGCACCTGTGCTCCTCACAGCCCATGCCAGATGGTCTGCCACATCCTCCTCGACTCGTTCTGCTTCCCCTGGCCTCACTGCTGCCGGCTGGGCGGGGAGAAACCAAGGGAGGTCCCGGAGAAGGGACGAAGACCAAGGGACAACACCTGAAAACAGCAGCTGTTTGTAGTCCTCAAGTGCCCAGCGCTGGCCCGGGCGAGCCAGTCCTTCCCCCAACCCCAGGTGGGCCCTCACACCCACCTGTGAGCCCTCTGCCCGCCCCCTCCAAGCAGCTCCCTCTGTGTCCCCGAAGCCCAGTCCCCTGCAGGAGCACTTGGCGCAGGCAGCCAGCAAGGTGGGGTCCCCACCATGTCTCATCGCATTCACTCATGGTCAGGTCCAGCGTCCCGAGGAGGGGCAGGGCAGGGGCAGGGCCCTCGCACCTCTGTCCTCACCCAGTCATGTGGACATGCTCCCTCCACACCCCCTTTTTAATGACCGCAGCCCCTGCTAACTGCACCCCTACTAGGCAGAGAACTCCAGACCCCTCGAGCTTCCGCACGCGACTCAGACCAGGAGGCCGCGACCACATCTGTGGAATGACACAATAAACCCGAGCCTGTCAGTCACTCGTCTCCCAGTGTCACTCCCCAGTGCTGGCCTGACAGTGTGGGAGGGAAAGGGGAAGCCCCGGAGACAGGACGAGAACCCCTCCACCTGCGGGCTGTGGCCAGGGCACAGGAAGCGGGGAAGGGCCTGTGCAGCAGCCCTGGAATCAAGCTAGCCAGATGTGGCCCATCCCTCCCACTACCTCTGACACGGACCCCAGCTGCTGTACCCACTGCAGACCCCACCAGCTGCTCTGCCCATGCTGACAGAGGCTTCGGTCTGGGGAGGACCGTGTGCTATCGTCTTGGGGGTGGCATGAGCAAAGGGGCACCACCCAACACACCTGGGGCTCCTCCCCTTTGCGGGACCTCAGCAGATGCAAGCAGCTTTGGGTGACACTCCCAACCTTTCCCCCCAAGTCCCTGATGAGCTTGGAAAACCACTCTGATTCAATCGTTTCCCAAAGGGTTTATTAAAACACAGAAAACCAAAACATACACACAGAGTACAGGGAAGGGGGACCGGGTCAGCTGCGGTCGGTCTCGGGGGGCGCTCAGCTTGCAGGCTCTGTCCTGCCCCCACGGGGGCCCCCTCCCTTCGCCTGCCCGGGGCCAGCTCTGCTCCCTCCCTGTGTGCCGGGCCGCAGCAGGGCAGGGGTCCGACCCCGGCAAGTTCAGGACACACACACGCACACCCAACAGGCCCTTCCTGGGTTATCGCACCTAAAAAAATACTTTGTTAAAAAAAAAAATCTGAAAATTAAAGGGGAAGAAAATCCAAGAACACAACACAACCAGTGCCCCTGGGCTGCTTCGTGCCACAACCTGTAAACTCGCAAGACATGAGCTGCTACGGTCTGCCCAAGAGAGCCTTGGGGAGAGTCCACCGGCCCTGACCGGGTCACCAGAGCAGTGAGGGCAGAGGGGACCAGCAGTCTCCCGACCTGCCCGCCACAGCCTGGCACATAGTCAAAGGCTCTGAAGGACCAACGCTTGGCCCACCCTACCAACTCTGCTGGCCTTCAGATCCCCAAAGCCAGAGCAGGGCCAGCCTTAGTCAGCCCCCGGGGTAGGTGACAAGCAGGGGACCTTGGGCATGCCCCCCGGGAAGAGCTGCGGGTACGGGGAACCAAGCCTCTTCCACAGTTGGCACTCGGGCAGCCTCCCCGACCCCAGCAGGCTCCAGGAGACAGACCTGCTTCTCGGCAGGTGCGGGTGAGGCGGGACCAGACCTCATCCCCCTGGGGCTCTTTCAAGACCTTCAGTGCAGAGGCTCTGCCCCAACCCCCACAGGCCCTGGTCTGTGTAACTGCTTCACTGGAGTACAGACCCGGGGCCTGCCAGCAGCGAAAACCAAACCCAGCTGACGATGCCCCAGTGTGGCACCACCCCACCCCTGCCTCAACCGAGAAAAACACCCCTAAGAGCCGATCCGCCAGCACCCACTCCCCGGCCCTGGAGCCTGGAGCTGCTCAGCACTGGCCAGTGGGGCGCCTCCATCCCCACAGCCAGGGGCCAGGTGAGGCCGGGGAGGGCTTGGAGAGGGAAGAGGGACAAGCAGAAGAGCAGGGGCCAGCGGCCTTGGGTGGAGGCGAGGCGACACAGGCCACACACCCAGACCAGGAGTCAGAGGTCAGGAGGGGTTCACCCCGTGCGGCCAGAGCCAGGAGCCTGTGTGGGGAGGCACTGAGCAGAGGACACAGCCCTAGCCTGAACCCACGCAGGGCAGCCCTCCACCTCCGGGGACTGTGACCTGCAATGACAGGGGCTTTGGGGGGTCCAGCCCTCCAGGGTCAGAGAAAGCACAGTCCAGACAAGGCCGCCTAGGACTCAGGGAGGCCAGCCGCGTGCCCGCAAGGCCAGCCAGCAAGTCCTGCCCGGCCCAGGCCCCTCTTCACAGAGACCCCACGTATTCTCCACACCTTGCCCAGGCAGTGGAGCCCTGGTCCCCAGCCCCCAGGCCTAGCTGGTTCCTCATGGAGTCCCTTCCTCACACAGATTCTGCACCCAGAGACGCTCCCCGCCAGGAAGCTCTGAGCCAGGCTCGGCCACAGCAAAGGACAACCCCATGCAGGTCCAGGCCTGGCCACTCCCTGCCCCAGACCTAGTATGTCCCCCATGACTGGGCTGTGGGCTGCAGACGACAGACAGTGAGCAGATGGTCCCCAACTCCAGTGGCAGCAAACCAGGCAGGAAGCCCAGAAGACTTCGGTGGGCTGGAATCTGCAGGGGCTGGGCACCTGGCCAAGCCCCATGCCCCAAGCAGAGCCCTCCCCCCACTTACACGAAGCAGCTGTGGCTTTGCCTCCAGCACCAAGTGCCACAACCTGGGCCTTCCGGGGGACTAAGTGTCCAGGAATGTGTCCCCGCAGCCCAGCACACCATGCCCAGGGCAGTCTGATGCCACCAGGACCCCTGCTGCTACCCGCCCAGCAAGCCCCAAAGCCCCTCCTGTAGGGCTCCCAGCCAACAGCAGGCCCTCCCCATTGCCTCAGCCTGCCCTGCCCAGCTGGCCCCAGCCCTGGGCCTTCTGACTGGGTCACTAGGACACACACCTGTAAGAGGTACCCCTCCCCTCAGCACGGCACGCATTCATGGACTCCAGCCCTGGCAGGACCTGACCAGCCTGGCTCCAGGGGCCCTTGGCGGGCGGTCTGAGCAGAAAGGCAGCCACTGGGGGGCAGGCAGGACGGGCTGGGGCACAGTGAGGGCTGTATGCTCCCTCAGGCAGCCCAGACACCTCCGGGAGCCTCCCAAAGATTAGTGCATGTGTGCCCAGAAGGTGCCCGACGCCACCCACGTCACCCAACTTTCACCAAGACAAACGCGTTCAAGTCTTCAATAGCAAAGTGCAGAAGACGGACAAATAAATGAAACCTCCTCTGGGAAGTCGCTCTGGAAAAGGTGGCCAAGGGACGCGTCCAGCGTGGCTGTGGGCATGGCGTGGCGTGGAAGAACACTTGAATTGACACGAGGTGGCACCTCCAGGCTCTGGTCCCGCCAGGTCGGACCCCGTGCTCCGTGTGACGGCCTTGCCCGGTGTCCCTTGGGTCCCAAGCGGACACGGGCTCCTAAAAAGGCGACTGCTGTTCTCTCCCAAGGGGGTTGGGCGAGTGGCCCGGCAAGCGTGGCTGCAAAAGGCAGGTGAGTGGGCGGGCAGCCGGGTCCTAGGGCCCTCTGCTGGCCACCGCCCACCAGGCGGCTCTGGCAAGAGCCTGACAGCACCCCAGGAAGTGGCACCCACGAGCCAGCCTGACACTCCGCACAAACAGTGGTGCTCACAGGGACAGGCAAGAATGGCAGCCCCTGGGGGACAGGGACCTGGGCTGCCAATCTCATAGCCAGTGCCAATCCTGCCACCCTTAGCCATTTCCCGGCCCCGGGCAGGAAGCATGTTGCGCCAGCAGCTGGTATGGCACTGAAAGCTGGAGGGGCTCCGGGCTGGTCACAGTAGGCCTAGGCACCAGGAGCACACCCGGCCCCCCAGTCAGCACATCCCAGTCCCCATCTGCAGGCTCCTGGGGCAATGGCAGCTCTAAGGACCTGTACAGGGTGGGCTGGCGGGAGGAGGGACGAGGTGGCAGGGGTGGGACAGTGGCAGCCTCACCTCGGCTGGAAAGGAGCACGGCAACAGGGGGGCGTCACGGTCACGGCTAGATATCTGTGGGGAGAGAGAGCGGGGCCCGGCTGGCCTGGTGGTGCGGCAGCAGGCAGGCCAGGCCAGCGGGGGCCCCGTGGCACATGCTGCCCACGAGTGCACGGGCACCTACCAGTCACATAGGGCCCCAGGGGCATCTGGTTGTAGTTGACAATCCCTCCCGGTCCAGGGCCCCGGAAGTTGGGCCCAAAGTTGCTGTTGTACATCTGGGAGGAGCCGAAAGCGCCCTGGAGGCAAGGACGCAGCTTTGCAGGTGCGGTGCCACCCTCCAAGGGCCTCCGCACCCACGGCCCCGGGCTGGAGCTCACCTGCATGGCGGGGTCGCCGGCGCGATTGGTCAGGCGGCTGAGGATGCTCCGCTCAGACATCTGGAGGCGGGCGGCCACCGGGGGGATGCGGGACAGCATGGAGGGCAGGCGCGTCACATCCGCCTTCATGTCGCTCAGCAGCTCCTCCAGCTGGTTCAAGACTACAGGGCGGGCAGCGGTCAGCCTGGCGGCCCAGCGCTGCACACAACTCCAGCTCACACACCCGGAGGAAGCTGCCTCCGCCCCAGCAGCTGGGTGCCTGCCTCCCACGAGCAGACCACCTGGACTGCAGTCTCGGCTCTGGGTTCCGGGCAAACCCTGGCCAACTGGCGTGGGCACTGGGGAGCGAACCAACTGGTGACAACACTGTCCTTGCTCACGTCCCCTCTGCTTCACTCTCCCCCTCCCTCCTCCCTCTCTCTCTCATTCTTTGTCTACCTCTGCCTCTCAAATAAATACTTGTCTTTTCAAACTGCATCAAGAGAAATTAGCTTATTAAATAAAGGCAAGTGGTAGTGCTGGGGGGCAGAGTGGGCTGTGGCAGTGCCCACTGTGCATGGGGCAGGCCACTCTGCATCCACCAGAAGCTGACACGAGTGCGGAGGAAGGGCAACAGGCATCAAGGGTCCCCCAGCACCCCTCCCAGGGGCCCCTCTGAGCTGTGCCAGGCTCACATCCCCAGCCCAGCCCTGGTGGACGCCCCTCCCAGCAGCCCCACTGAGACGCGTGAGAGCAGCAGTGTGCCAGGGACTGCACATCTGGACCAGCAAACCTGGACACAGGCCATCAATCCCCAGAGACAAGGAGCTCGCCTCTCGGGGGTGTGGTCGGGGTGGATGAGCGGGCTCGCTGTCACCACTGTGTCACGGAGCCCCAGGCCGGCACCTACTCTGAGCCGAGGCAGAACGGGCCCTCTGGGCCGGCATTCGTTGTGGGGCCCACTCACCCTTGTGCAGGACAGCATTGGCAGGCTTGTTCCCTGCCAGGGACTCCTTGGACAAGTGCTGGTGGCTCTCAGCAAGGCACTCCACCTCGGCCAGGCGGGCGTTGAGGGC